TGCCTTTAAGTGGTTCCAAAATTAATTTGGACGTGGTTGTTTCAGTAAAAACACATATCTTCCCATACGAATAGGTTTGTATTCGCTTCTATTATTCCTTTTTATCAACATGTCTACGTTATTGAAAAGAAAACGAGGAATGAATTGAACAGACATATCCGTAAGGTCTGGAAAACGTCTGCCAAACTAAAGAATATTTGGCCTTTCTGTGAGCCATGTGGTTTTTAAGTATGCTAATGTATGACCTATAGAATGAGTACAAAGACCTTAGGAATAAGTCGCACAAGCGCAAGAAAAAGGGATGACTTGGGTGGGACGCGTTACCGCGTCACAATGTCCCACGAGGTGCGCAAAGTGGGACGCGTTACCGCGTCACGCTGTCGTCAACGTGTTAAGACGCGACAACGCGTGCATTGGACACTACACCTCATCAGGAGTGGCCGGACTGACCAATTGACCATTCTTCGTAAAAAAAATACTCTAAACGTTGCCTATGTGTCAAGAGAGTTTAGGCCCGAGATGATTTAGTCACAGTGCATGTGATTAAAATATCAACTCATTCGAAGAACCGTTTCAGCACATTGACGCCAGTGTGGCCCGCTACCAGGACACACTTTGTAGGTCACGCGGAATGGCGTGACATTAGGTCATGTTGGTTCATCCTATTTTTATTGAATCAAAAAGATGGGTACTACATACAGCTACATACAGATCAGTACTGTGGTAGATGCTAGATTATCTTGGAAGGAAAACATTTCTCCTGTCATAGGTTTCTAATTATACTCCAGAGGCCAAATTCGCTGCACTTTCCTCCACTTTGATTTGTTCTAAAGCATGGAGTTTCTCTGGAAGAATTTTTCGCTTGTGCTCACTGGAACATGACGTATTTTAGTAGAAATCTCGCTCTAGGATGCGCCATTCAATCGTCTGTGGTGCGTAGTCGCAGTGGCAGTTGAAAGTCTGTCCTCCTTTGCCACTTAGCCACGCCTTGGCAGCTTCTAATTTTGTGAATGGTACTTGAGGTTACGACCCCCTCCTCTTCCATTGGCCAGATACAGCCCCCCGTTTTTCTTTGCGCAACGGCGGTTGAAGAAAACGAAGAAAACTAAGAAAACACCCGCAGAAAGTGGTGCTCCAAGTTCGCCTCCCGTCCCTGATGTCCTGTGTCAATGAAATGGACGTATTTGTTAACGGTTTCGTGACAGCAAACAAGTCACAAGGGGGTACCACTTCTCCCTTATTTACCATGGGAAATACCATACGAAACGCTCCAGTTACCCTTATCAGTGCGTTCCAGCTTAAGAGAGGTGGAACGACTCACCGTTTTTCCTTCTAATCTTTCTTTTTTGCCCACATGGTGTTGTTTATCCTTGAACACCTTGCGTACAACTGTCTATAAAGAAGCCATTTTTACTATTATTTTTTAGTTTAACCTACTCTACAACCGTTTTGTAAACCCATCACTCCTATTACCGCTTAGTTTTCCATGGATTTTTTTCGGTTTGTAGAAGGCGTTGAATCTAGTCATCGCTAAAGAACAGTTTTAATTTCTAAGTTCCACGTCCTGCGGCAGGAAGTACCGAGATTCGTATCCATTCATGTTGCAGTAACAACGTCGCCGAAATGTCCTCTAACTTCCTTTCAAACGTTATGAGTCATAAGATATTTCCCTCATCAGCCAATTAGAAAAAATACACAGCCGGAGCAAGTTTTCAATCTCACGTGATGCTGCTCGAATATAGGAAATAGCCTATCTGGCCATCTTTTCAGATCCAGATGGCATTTAGAACTTGCAATGACTGCAACCTCTCCTCCCCATTTTCCAGATGAATAACATTTCACTGCTCGTTGTTGACACCAACAAATGTTGCTGTTCACATACACTCTCGCAATCACGTGTCCTCCCTGCAATGACTGCTCGAAACGATAACCAGCATAAGAGTGCTCACTATACTACAAAGTCTCCCAGAGGGTAGCCTACCTACTGCAGCTTACCCTGTACTATGACCACACCGAAATCCATGGTAGGATACCCAGTATAACAATGCCAGATTCAACAATTCACAAAATCGAGTGCAATGATGGGGAAACAAACACAAACATTTCATTCCATATCTCCGATAACAAATAACAATTTAGAGACGACGTCCTCTGCGTCCTCCCTTTCGTCTGGTTTGATCTGAAGGAATAGGAGTAACATCTTCAATACGTCCGATCTTCATTCCACTGCGGGCCAAAGCTCGTAGAGCTGCTTGCGCACCAGGGCCAGGAGTCTTGGTCTTTGTACCACCAGTGGCGCGAAGCTTGATGTGAAGAGCATTGATTCCCAGCTAAAAATATATAATTGTGGTGTGGGTAGAAAATAAACAATACTTAAGCAAGAATTGGGATGTTCACACATAAACTAGGCGAAAGGGGATGGGGTGTTGGGTATGTCGCTTAAAGCCTAATAGACCTGCATAAAGCAGAAACTCATTCGAAGTCACTCAGATGTCGGTCAGACTCTGCGATTGCATCGCGATGGACCAGTGCCGGAGCGACGCGATCGCTCCATCGCTTGTCCATCGCGATGCAATCGCTCTGCCAAAAGTGCAAGCGGCGGGCAATGGCCCGCCGCGATCGATACCGATGTCGACTGCATCGATGTGGGCGGGGCCAATCGCCCGTCGCTCCCACTCTTGCGCCGAGCGATTGCATCGCGATGGACAAGCGATGGAGCGATCGCGTCGCTCCGGCACTGGTCCATCGCGATGCAATCGCAGAGTCTGACCGACATCTCATCAGTGGGCGTGCAGAAGTTAGTTTTTACTACAATCATCTCAAGCTAGAAATAAAAAACAAGTTACAAGCAGTATGATTCTAAGATAATCCGAGTAGAATAGAACACTACGCATTGATTCAAGCACCAAGCCAATGGCACTCTCGATAAGAAAATGGAAGTGCGATTAAAGCAAAGAATCTCCTAGGTTACAACACACGCTTTGTTTCTGCAGTGCTCGTTCGTGTTCCCTGTCCTATTAGAACAGCAGTGGCGAGGGTCATCCTTAAACTGTGGTCTCTATCAGAGAGCTTCTCTCATGAAAGGCTTTTCGTTCAACAATTAAATCTGCCCTGATGTTGAATTATGTCAGAACTGCAACATATAGAACTGTCATTTTCCGCATCATCCCAGAGAAAAAAGATTCATCAACGGAGACTTGGCGATACTTTCAGCATAATTGCGGAATCGCTTAATAGCATAATCGACGATCTTTTAGACCGATACGTATGGTTTCCTTCAAGAGAATCTCAAAAGCGCATAAGTCGCGAGCTATGAACAGCGTCTTACATATCCCAAGATCCCAAGAAGCCCATGAGACCCTACATTGCTTTCTACACTTCGCTCTTTTGTTCAAATAGCCATCAACTTAGGTTGAATTCTTGAGAATAAGAAACACATTCGCAAATTTCAACTAAATGGCACGCATGCAAATTGTTTATAAAACGGACTTTTGCTAAAGTTACCAAGCAACCAAAATACCGAAATAGAAAACGATCAGAATCTGTCTGAATGTTACATAAAGGAAACTAATGACCGAGCAAACAGAAGACAATGAAACGAAGTGAAAAAAAAGGATGGAAAGAAAAACCTGGAAAGAAAATGACACTACTAACACAACTTCAATGTCACCGCCAAACGATAACAAAAGTCATTTCAGCTGGAATTCTACATTTGAGTATACTTAATTTATATTTATTATTGTCATTTCAACGTTACAACAAAAGTGGCTTATAAAATAAAAGTCAAGTACCGATAGAAAGAACATCGAGGAACTCATCCAATGAACAAGTGTTCGAAGTAGTTGTAGTGTGAGCTAGTTGTATAAATAAAAAAAGGGGGGGGTGTATGGCGACCATAAAATTCGCTATCTAGGTTCCGTTGGAGTTAATGGTAAGCAAATTATCATTCGCAAAAGATACACGAGCCTCGTCACTGCAGACTCATAAAACACAGGAATGCTAAGTTAGGGGCAGAACTCTTTGTTCACTATAACACCGCACTTCTGTAAAAAGTTCCCTAGGCGAACTGCGGTCAAAAACAACGTACAGCGCGTCAGGGCGTTCTCCTGTATCAACTAAATGAGCCTGCATTTCTATAGACGAGATGCGAGTTGAATAAGAGAAGCTTTTCAAACATCAATTGAACTATGAGGGAAGCCGTTCCAGTAAACACAGCTACATTAAGACAAAGGAAACGAGCAAAATTCTGAAGAAAGTTGAGCACTATTCAACTATTACGACCCCAAAAACTCAAAATTTTATTTTTCGTCGAAACTTCGCCTATAGGGGTAATTCGGTGCCCTGATCACGAAAATGAGGTTCATTTTTTGCCATTTGGCGCCAATTGGCGCCAATTTGGCGCCAAGGGTGTTTTCACCAAATTCGCTGTAAACTTGCACATAGGGGTTATTTGGGGTCCTGATCACGAATATAACATTCATTTTTCCTTTTAGCCTGTGTGCGCCTGTTTTCCGCTCGTCTGCGCCCTCTCACTGATCACCTCGCGATCGGGACTAAGCCTTTGAGGAGGAGAGTGCTCCGAAGTGAATAACACTTATCCTGTGATCTTATACGCTTTAACGTTTGCCACATGTTGACTGGTTCACCCACCCCGGAGTCCTCCCTCCTTCTAGGCTCAGTCCTAGGTATTATGTACAAGTGAGAGGACCCAGGAAAATGGAAAATGTGCGTTGAACGGTGGAAATGCTAAAAACGAATGACATATCCGTAATCAGGACCCTAAATAACCCCTATGTGCAAGTTTACAGCGAATTTGGTGAAAACACCCTTGGCGCCAAATGGCGCCAGCGCCAAAAATGAACCTCATTTTCGTGATCAGGCACCTCAAATTAACCCCTATAGGCGAAGTTTCGACGAAAAATAAAATTTTGAGTTTTTGGGGTCGTAATAGTTGAATAGTGCCAAAATTTTGAAAAGCTTGAAGAGCCGGTGATGGAGAAAAAATATGGACAAAGGGTAAATAGTTACAAGCGGGATGTAAAAAAGCTGATTTAAATCGGAAAGCCCTGGATCTCACTGACGCACTCCGATAGTGATCAATATTGATCATATTGTAATCAGCTAGAAGCATTTGCAGGATTGATGACAAATAGAATTGGAGTGGAAGGCCAGAAATAACAGTAAGAACGCCAAGACAAATTAACTGTCAGGATGATTTCTCTAATTATTCAATATTTATTCTATAAATATTATTTCTACTACTATTTCTCTAATTATTCAATACCAATATCTTCTTTGGCCGTCGGCATCCCACGTTTGGTCTTTCTGCCTTACGTAATCGAACCTTTGGATGCTGTATTGATGAACCATATTCATTAATCTCGCTTGCAAACAGCGAGATAACTAGGTGTTCCAAACTGCCTCAAGAAAGGTTCCAATTACCAGGGGCCGTATGCTGAATGTTGGGTAGGGGCTGGGGTCCCCGACCCGCGATGCTGAATGTTGGGGCTCCCAGCAGAGTTTCGTCGCGGGACCTACAGGTGACTGGCCAGTCCTTTAATTCTGTGATGAAGTTTTTGTCTTTTCACTGTTCTAGATTACAGATTCGTCCACGCACACATTGCCATATTGAAGTAATACACCAATATGGCACGAAGTAATAGAAGACGCGGACCAAACTTCAGTCTAAAGTAGTGAATTGACAGACTGGCAAGATTATGGCAATATAGCTAGACGTACACGAACGATCCAGCATATAAATGAATCAAAGGATATACTAACGCAATTACAACAATATAGCTGTATATACGTGGACAAATTTACAATATAAAACAGGGAAAAGGTGAAAAGGTAATCGTAAAATCAAAGGACCGGTCAGTGGCCGCCTGGTCCCGCGACGAAACTCTGCTTGGGAGCCCCAACATTCAGCATCGCGGGTCGGGGACCCCAGCCCCTACCCAACATTCAGCATACGCCCAGTACTAAGGGGGCCGTATGCTGAATGTTGGGTAGGGGACGGGGATGGGTGAACGTTGGGGAGGTTCGTCGCAGGACCCTTCTGGGCAGCTGTCGCACCTTCAATATTGCAGCTCTGTTTGTATTCTTTCATCGCTGCTTTTGGTATGAAGAAAGATATTTACGTGCGAATATACAATCAGAAACAGTAAAAGGGTGAAAACAAAGCTGCAAAATCAAAGGTGCGACAGCTGCCCAGAAGGGTCCTGCGACGAACCTCCCCAACGTTCACCCATCCCCGTCCCCTACCCAACATTCAGCATACGGCCCCGGAGAGGATGGGAGGACCCGCGAAGAGAGTGCAGAGGAGCTTTAAAGGGCTGAGTTCAAGTAGTCCGTCGACCCTTGCACACCACGTCGGTCTAATGCATGCACCGACAACCGAAAACCATGCCACCCCGCGTCAACTCTTAACGAAACCTATCAAAACCAATGTGTGAAAACTCTTAATGGAAATTGAAAGGATGTCCGACCTTACAAAAGAGGGAGCACAACTCTCGAGACCTCTGCATACCAGAAGACTAGAAAAAAAAGCAAGTAAAACAAATGCGAGGAAAAACTGCTGACCTGCTTGCACCTTTCAGCTACATCCTGAGCTGCAAGCATAGCCGCATATGGCGAGGATTCATCTCGATCTGCCTTAACTTTCATACCACCAGTGACACGAACAATAGTTTCACGCCCTGCAAATGAAGCAATAAACCGCCATATTGTTATCGACAAGGAGACTTCGAATCGTACCGGATATATCAGTCACATGGACGAAAGTATCGTTGAATGACGCGTAGATGTGAGCAACACCAAAGACAAGCTCGCCTTCCTTAGCCTGAGGTCCAAGAGTGACCACCGGCTGTTCTTCTTTAGCCTTTCCCTTACGTGCGGGAGCCATTATCCAAGACTAGAATTACTAAACAGCATGAAAACAACGCACGTCAAGAACTTCACGACAATCTCAACTAGAGCGATAAAACTGGACGCTCGGATGGTTTCTCATCAATGATCGAATATCGAAACCCGTGTCATTGTTACAGGTTTCGATATTCGATCATTGTTAATATCCATGTTAATTACAACTAATTCATATAAATAAAAAATTTCAAAAAGAATGTAAAATCGAGTTTTGGGGGAAGAGCTTATTATAGGACGGTGTTCAGCGTAGCAGACTGCGTATCGCAATGGCTACGGAGTCGACGCGCAGTTATTTGCTTTCGTGCTTCCTTCTACAGTAGGAATTTTCTTTTTCACTAAACAGAATTCTCTTATAATTTTGGGACGTTTCCAGTGTTTTTACTTTAAATTTTCCTGTAATTTTGCGTCAGCATTTCAACTTAAGTGGTTTCCGCATTCTGGCCTTCATAAGTTTGGTTCTGGGAGTCGTGAATTTGGTTTGTTTCCAAGGTCATGAATTTTTTCAGATGTTTTGATAAGATGTCGCATATTCTCTGGAACGTATGCTGTGAATTGGTTAGAGGTTGTCTCGATGCTTTCAGAGGATTAGCGGTAAGCAGTTTTCTCGACTATTTCGTACTTCCTTGTTATTTTTTTATCACGCACACGGGTTCTATGTCATTTGCTTAGAAGATGGTAGTTGCATTTTCTTCATGGACAAAAAAGGTTATTCTGTTTTAGTTTGTGTGGCAGTTGGACAGGGATGAAGAATACGTCGTTGTGAATAATGCACCTCGCGCAGCACCACGGACAGTCATGCAGGTATACATTCCATGTATTCCAAATGATTAGTGGAAAAAGGCTTGAGGATTTGTATAGTAATAGTCACTCCTCTGCCCCGATCGTTTCCAAATGCGGTCGAGCAGTATTCATTTTATATCTAGTTGTTAGAGAGAATCGGAAAACCCTCGAAAAGGAATAATCAACTGGTAGAATCGAGGTGCTGCGGTCGCTTCAACACATTGGCCGATGTCAGACTTTGCGATTGGAGCGATTTTGCACCAATTGCAGGAGCGACGGATCGCTCCAAAGTGCGAGCGACGGGAGATTTAGGCCGATGTCAGACTTAGCGAATCGCGCGATTCGCAAAGTCTGACATCGGCCTTACCCCGCCGACGACCGATACACACGGCGCCGCTCGGGTAAATCTCCCGTCGCTCGCACTTTGGAGCGATCCGTCGCTCCTGCAATTGGTGCAAAATCGCTCCAATCGCAAAGTCTGACATCGGCCATTGACGACGGCGCGGGGGATACATAAGGCCCCGTTCATAGATCACGGTTAATGCGATTTGACGATTTGACGATTTAGCGGCTATGGTGAAAGGAATGTATGCGTATCGACTAGAGGATCGTCGACATATCGTATCGACGAATGGTTATTGGGCGGCGTCAGTTCAATCAATGTGCACCCTAGTCCTTTGAACATAACCGCCAAATCGTCAATCGCTTTATCGCGTAATCGGCAAATTTTAGATCGATACGTATGTTTTCCTGTCAGCATAATCGCTAATCGCATTAACCGCGATCTATGAACGAGGTGTGCGGGGAGTATGTCTCCCGCACCCATCCCGGTGCTAACTTAGTTTGGGGGTGGGGGACCACGCGGCGGCTTTGTTCGTCTGCTCCTCTAAGGCTTAGTCCAAGGGCAGTTACTATTTCGTCGCCACGTGGCAGTTTCGAAATACGCGCCATCGGTGGACTAAGCCTTGGAGGAGCAGACGAACAGAGCGCCTAGTGGTCTCCCCCCCCCCCCCCCAACCAAGTTAGCACCTCCAATCCATCATTTTTTATCGCAGGTGCACGAATTCTCCCGAAGTTTTCTGTTTCTATTTTATAGATCAGATATTGATAAAACTATAAATGTAGTAGTTCATGAATAGTTAAATATTCTTCAGTTTAACCCTTTCGGCCCTGGCGGTGGCAATTGCCACCACCAAATTCAAACGCTTGCATTGCCGCTGAAACAGCATGGTTTTTCTAATCCTGCTAGAGGTTGCTTCAGTCAACCTTCCCCTTCCTAATTATGAGCTAAACCTGCCATTTCATTGTGTGTTGCTGTTAGTATTACAAGTATTTGTGTACAAGTGCAACAATGAATCGGCGCTGGTCCCCGCAACCGGCCAAGTAAGTGTCACTTTTTCTTAAAATACTTGAAGTAGATCCATTCTTAATCAAAATTATGGGTTATAATGTTGTGCAAGATTATAAACTTTTTCGGCATAACTATGAAATTTGGAATTGTTTCGACATAAGCTCAAAAACTAAGAAGGTGGGCCAATTTTCAAAGCTTCCTAGTTTCTTTGTTTGTGATCGAATAGCTTCCAAATTTCGCTATAATGATACCTATGTGCTCACAAGTAATAAACAATAGCTAGATCAAGAACTTTTCAGTTCAGCTCAAACTCACACTAACTTCTCAAAAAACAAGTAAAATTGTGAAAGGCATTCAATGTTTGGCCAAAACGTTGAGAACGATAAAATTGCCAAGTTGTAAGAAGTTCCAACTTTATAGTAGAAAAACGTATACGAACACTCTTCAACAAGGTCTTCAATTTGATCCATTTTGTAACCCTAAATAGGCGTTTACTCAATCGAAACTTCTGCTGGAGGAGCCACTTTGTTTGTGCTTTTATCATGTAAGCTAACTTACTTACCGCTCTCTAAAGTTGTTTATACGTTCGAGCTTCCAAAAACGCGCCTTGTTGGACCGTGCGGGATATGTATACCGCGACAAATGCGGTCGCAAAATCGCGTCGGTCCCACATGGCCGAAAATATTAAAACTGACATTGTCGTAAAAGTATCAAAATACGGATGATCTGAATTGAACGAGTGGATACAAATGAAGGTTTATTGTTCCAATGTGTTTGTGAAACCTTCCTCACTGTGCCTAATATTGGTAAGCTCACTAGGAAGGTAAAAGTTTCTGTTACAGCAGAGAAGGGAGCTTCGAGGCACAGTGGCACGTCCTGCTGAGCGCATCTATCGGCGCAGGGAACGCGTATGGAAGCGGTGCGTCCATTTTTTTTTACGATGGTTGTTATTTTTGAGTTTGACCTTTTGGAAAGGCTTTATTGTGGCGAGTAAGTTCAAGATATCATCAAAAGATGTGAAAAGTAGTGCAAAAAAGAAAGGTTCTCGTCTCGAAATAGGACTTTTGTCACATGCTTGTGTTGCTGACAACTTTGGCGGAGGTGTTGTTCACTGTTTGCGAATCGAGAGTCCGCGTAAAAATCACAAGTCGACCGGGAGAATCTGTGAAGGGGATTATCATGAAAGGAAGGGAAATCCACGGAAATCACTGCAAAACCAATACTACTGTTGTCTCATCAAGTTTTTTGGAGTTGCGGGTCACAAAAGAAGGAAGACCCAGGACTGGTCTCGTGCCATTGTCCCAGACTCGTGTTCAGTGTCATTGGAAGGCAATTTGACTGACATGAACTTTTCCCGTTGTACTCCATGCCAGGTTTCCATGAGTATTTTCCAGATTTTTTTTGAGGTAGAACCTTAAGTGTTACCTAACAAAGTCCCTAACATTGCCAAGGTTCAACTGAAAAAGAAAAAAGCTCCTACGGCGACTCGAATGTGCTTTTACGGTGGAAAACGTCAGTGTCTCAGTGTCTACCGATGATGAGCAGTCTGAGGAACTAAAAGAGGTCAACGATATTGGTTCGGGAAGTGAATAGTATGGGAGCGGAAAAGGGAATGTCGAGAGGCGTTATCAAGCTTTCCAAGGGAAAGAAAACTGTTGCAAGCAGTCAGAGGCCGTATCCTATCCTTGGGGGACGCGTCACCTGCCGCCTATCCCATGCTATGGTTGGGTGAGACAGGGTTGCGTCATAGGACCGGCTATACTCTCGACTCCAGGCAGTTCGATCGCTTAGGGGAAAGCGTGCCTAGGCAGGGAAGGATAGCTACAGCATCATGCGCTCAATGGCGGGTCCTGTGACGCAACCCCGTCTCCTCCTATGCTTAGGATAAAATCATCGTGGAGGACGAGACCCCGGGGAAAAGGATAGGATGGCCAGGTTCAAATAAAAAAAGGAACTTCCCAGGACGTTCAACCTCTTTATCTTCCAGCTCTTTCAACTCGAGAAGCTAGAAGATAAAGACGTTGAACGTTCTGGGCTTGATTGCCCTGAACAGCACAATGTTGTCTTAAAATTACCAAACCCCGAGAACTTGTTAAATTCGCTTTCGCTGGATTCGCAAAGTCTGACACCGACCCTTTGAAGCGTTGTCTTGAAGATATACCTAACGAATTTTCTACCAAAAGGTGCACGTATATAAGCACAGCAAAGATTAGGAAGTGCGGTTTCTGTTGGCACAAAACAACATTCATTGCTTTGTTTGCTCTCATTCTTTCATTTAGATGTTAAACTCGGTGTTTAGAGTGTTTCAATGCGTAGTCACTAATGCTGGAATATGGTTGCTGGTATGGACACTTCTGAAGATGTGCTCGTCTGGAAATGATATGTCTGCTGGTGTCATCGCTATTCTCTCACACCTGATCGTTCTTCCCATCTTCGTATTTACTCGAATTGTGCTTGCTTTATGGTTTTCTGACATTGCTGGAGCGTGCTTGCGGACGCTGAACTTGGATCCTCCTCCAAGTGTTGAGTTCAGGTTAGCTATTTCATGGGAGTTTCTGTTTTCGTTTGTTACGCCCACAGTAGCCCGTACCCGATTATCACGAGGAAATACCATATTCTCCACATGGAGCGGAAAGTGTTCTCTAATAAGACACATTTTCAGCACAGCTTTATCAGACGTACTCGTATCACTGTTGCTAGGATGTGTTTTTCTTGCGCAGGGTCTGCTCGTGTCGTATCTTCCGCTACCTGCTGTTTTGTGCTCTGTTATATCTTTCATTCACTTATCCCTTCTTAATTCGATGTACAGGTAATTTTTTTCCTATCGAGTTTTGCTGTCATGGCATATTCCGTTACTCATAGGAGTACGGGTGTGGTTCACTAGGACAGGAAGCTCGCGCTCCGCAGCGCGAAACATTTTTCGTTGCGAACCTCAGGTCCACCTCTGATCATCAGTGGACCCGAGGTTCCCGCAGCGAAAAATCAGTGGACCCGAGGTTCCCGCTGCGAAACGCGAAAAAGTCGCTTTCTTTCCTAGTGAACCTCACCCGATGAGTACGTGAGCCACTATTGTACCAATTACGTCCATCAACAGTAGTTTGGGCCTCACTATCCTTAGGCTGGTGCCGGACCTCGCGAATTGAGCAATTTGCTAGTAGCGAATCGCTTGATTTGCAGTCTGACATAGGCCTTAACCATCTTGACCTCACTATTCTCCATCAACAACTTTTGTTTCAGCTTTGAATATTTCTGGTCGTCTCGCAGTGTGCTGCTTCACAAACGCATTGAGCGCTTAGAGGCTTATTTGCCATATTTCATCGGTTTTGGTGCTCCTCTCACATTTGTGTCGACTTTGAGTAGCAATTTCCTGCTGAATGGCAGTGTGTTCGGCACATTCTTTCCCTTACTGATCATCAGCTCTTACAAGGTAAACTTCCGCCATGTGTCTTATTTATGCTCTGGAGACTATAAGAGCTACTTTCCTTTGTTATCATCATTCGACTGTGTGTGTTTTTTAGGCCTCTTGGGAGAGACCGAAGGATTCGAGAAGACAAACTCCAGTGCTAAATATTTTTACGCCTTCGCGTTTAGTCACTGATGGTTTTGTAAATATTTTCTCAGGATTGGTTGTTCAGCAGCCGACGATTCGTTAATAGTCTTGTACATAACTAAGCAGCTAGTCCATGTGAATTGTAAATATTGTACATATTGCTATATGGGTAGTGCCATTCGTTAGGTTTAGGAAGACACCTTTGCTCAAATACATGTATAAAGTCATTGTGATAGCACTGCGTACATGTTGCCTCTCGCAAGGTTTGAAACCTGTATTGAAAATGGTTTTGCTTCAGTTTGATTCGTAATATACCCTGTTGCGAATAGAATATGAGAAAAATAACTGTTATAGGGATGACTCAACCTGGTATTGAGGGCCTCGCCGTAGGCTTGAACAAAGGCCACAAAGTGACGAAGATTGATCGCAAACCTCGTCAAAATCGACGCATTGGAGCCTGTAGCAAGAAGTCCAAGGTAGGCCTTCATGGATAGAGTACTCTCGATTAAACCGCGTTCATAGTAGGTTCAATTGAGAGCCTGAAAGGAAGGTTTATGAACCTATGTTCAAGATTCTGTATTGTTGACTTACCATTTTGCATTGCAGGTTGTCCGTGAACTCGTAAGGGAGATCACTGGCTTCGCTCCCTATGAGAGACGCGTTCTTGAGCTGCTTCGTATATCTAAGGACAAACGTGCACTGAAGTTCTTGAAGAAGCGTGTGGGTACTCACCTCCGTGCCAAGAAGAAGAGAGAGGACCTTCAGAGCGTCATCGTTGCCCAACGCAAGCATCACAAGTAAAATTGTTGCTGTTATTGTTGTTCATAAATGGTTAATATACGACTTGTAGTGATTTCGCTGTAGACCTTGCGTCTTGTCGCCTTGTTACAAGTAAATAGCAATGTTGAAAGATTCGCTGATTTCCTTTGAAATGCACGTCGCTGTTGGTGTTTGCTAGTGCTAACTTGTTAGGGTGCAAAAAAATAAACGCAGTTGGAAAATATTTATTCATAGGGCTCATAAAAGTCTGACGAGATGAGGGGGTAAATAACATTACTTGAGAACTCCTTGGGAAGCCGGCTTATGGTCGCTCTACGTATTCCCCCCTTTCTTATTAACATGGGTTCTTACGTATGTCACAGTACTAATATGTTGGTTTGAGTTCAACTTTAAGTGAAGAAACCTTTGTTACATGGTCGAGATGGGATATCTGTCATTTTTTGTCTAACCCGTGTATTGATCAGAAATCCGGCTATTTCGCCGTTATCCAGTGATAGCTTAGAGCTGAAAGGTTCCTGTGGAATCACGTTCGTGAATGTTTATGGAACTAAGTTCAAATATACAAGAGTTACTGTTTTTTTGGACTGAAACTTGAAACCTTGAAACTCTTATTCTACGCTCATTTTTTTTGGGAACCAGCACAACATCGTCATTGAAGGAAGGATGCGTTCATGAAGAGAAATCGCCTGAATGCATGTTGAGTTGATATTCAAAGTGAAATGTACTACATAAAATCTCATAAGTTAACTTGCTTTTAAGTTTTTATTTGTTGCTCACCGCTCTGCGAAGGTGAAAAGGTTCACTGGCTATTACACAATGCGACGGGCTTCTATTTTTGCGCTGACGTATTTCTGTTGTAAAAGGCGTGCATATTTCTTGATTAGGTGGTCAATTATGCGCTAACTTCTGTGCTTAAATAGACATAGGTTTTCTCCTGCGATAATTATATATTTTGTTAATATACATACATAATACCGTACCATATATTTCTTCAGTAGTTGCGGAGGGAAAAATGTTTTCTGCAATAACACTGATACTTTTGCGACTTTTGGACATGGTTGGTGTGACGAGGGTGTTCATCAGCCGGCCTGTAAACTTGATCCTGACCCTTTTACTGGAAGTATTTTTGCAACTTTTGCAATACATGGTTGACCTCGGCAAGGATCGAACTTCGGGTGGTTCGGCAAGGGTGCAAGAATATGGGTTGTCATTCTTGCCATCTCTGCTTCGCAACAAATTATCATATTTGTACCCGTTTAATAGTGAGCGCATGGACAACACTGAGTAACCTGATTTCGTCTGTGCGATTGCAGAAACGTTTTTCCTTCCACTACTATTTTAAAAAATTTAATGCTCCTGCGATATCTTTTGATAACCGATGGGTGAATGATTTTTCAATTTTGCCGTTATGAAGTGAATCAGTTCAAGCTATCACAAGAGAGTCCTCACTTGGAGTATCGTTCTCTAATTGAACGTACAGTTTAATCGTTATCAGAGGTAGTTTAGGCGTGGTCCCATCTAAGGTAGTAGTGTGGTTCAGGAACAGTTTTCTTTTTATTTCTCTTCAAACTACCAGTCCGTGTCCATTTATCATTTCCCATCTATTATTCACTGTTCCTTCATGTTTTTTTTTTACCCAAATCTTCATTTTTATTTGCCTTTCCCAGTTTATCTATCAATTCTGGGGTTCGTCTGCTTTGAAAAGGTAACGGTCATCGCTTCTTTTCAAGTTGCACCATTCCTACACTGTCGCCTGGTCTTAACTTATTTTGGGTTAGTTCCATCATTCCCTTGAATATCACTCTCGCCAGAAATGACTGGAAAACTTTTTGCAGTTCTATCAGGTGACGATAGGTGATATGGTGTACGCTGTGGAGAAGGAGGAAAAAGTGTGGTCAATCTATTTAATGGTGACAAGTATGATGTGACTGATGTGCAAATTCTAATATTTGCGACATAGTGAACCATGCTATACTGGACACAATAACGGGGAGCAGAATGCTGTTCCGGTTCATTAAGAAAATGACAGTGCTCGTGCCAGAAATGATGACGGCATAATATGTGGCTTTCTTCATAAAGGGAGGGGGATGATTAGTCACGGATGCGATTTGCATTTACCATTGCTGGCAATTTGAACTTTTGCAGATGTTTAGCCGCTCAGCAATTCGGGTGGCATCTTGTATTGTCGCTGGCCGTCGCTGTCTAACGTCTTTCGCTTCGGTTCCAACCTCATCACTGAGCCGCCTTGCTACGCCTTCACAGTGTGCGTTGAATCAGAAGCGGTCAGTAAATCCCGTTTAAATATTTATGATATCGTCTTCAAGTGTCCTGCCAGGACAACCAAACATTCAAAAGTTCTCACATCGGATGCCGAGAACAAAATTCTATAAATTTCCTGACAAGTACTAGACTAGTGGCCTAGAAAATATGCAGCAAAAAAATCACATTCCGAATGGGACCATAAATCCGATCAGAAGTGGAATGTGTGGCGCATCTTGAAGGTGGTTGGTGAAGTAAAATGGGCTCTATTGGTGCCTTGTTCGCTTTGGAAGAGCTTAACCTGTATTGGCACAACCATTTCGACGCGGCAGATACCCTTTCAGCTGACATTTGTCTGAGTACTATTGGTCCGTTCAATGTGTCATCCTTTCTTGTAGCGCGTTAAAATGTTTGATTTCACGAATTTTGATTCAGCAAGTCGAGTGTTCGGGCCATTCGATCCACCAAAGCAGCTGACATTTAAAGAGGTAGTTTAATCTGCACAACTTTTAACTAGCTGTTTGAAAGTGTGAGAGAAACCACTTGATTGAACATTGTTACTTATTTTGTAACTAACGATAAGTGCAAATCCATAGAAATGACATTACTGTCTACTTTTCTCATGTGTGATTCTATGACTTCTGCAACCTTTGATCAATGAGGTGTTACGGTTGAGAGAATCAAGCTTTAGTGTCTTGAATCGGAATTACGTCTATATGTACATACACTGTAAGAGAACGAGCTCCTATTTTTTGAAGCTACTTTCGCCTCCAAAAGTAGTCTTACTATTCTAATCTATGCACACATTTTATTTTGGTATTGGTCACTGAGAACTGAAAAGTAGAAATAATCTATTGTTTTCAAGACCACTGCTGGTAATTTGCGGTGATATGGCCGCAGCGTCCTCGATTTTTTTTTTGAGTATGCCAAATGTAGTGGCTTTGAGGTGATGTTTTCACGGGATCGTAAGCTTCACAATTGTGACTGTTTTGTAAAGCCTTTAGCAAATAACTTAAAATAATACCCCCTTTTTTATAACTTTTGTATTCGCGACATCCATTTTGTATAATCGTAATAACTTCGTCCGCGCATTCGTCGGAAATGATATTCAGTCTGTTCTTTTCAACGAGGTATAGCTGTTACATTTGTTATAGGATAGTGTTTTTCTAAGAAAATTAAAAATTATGGGAGATTAGATCCCAAAATAGTTCAGTTCGTAGTTTTTGGTTAGCGGCAAATAGTCACAATAGTTGCACTTTTTAGGTTGAATCACGTGTATTGAAAGCTATACGTGCGTGGGATAGGTTCCCTGCAGATAAGGAGACGTTGCTGAAAATCGAGGCCGATTTTATGAAAGATCTGGGTTTTGATTCACTCGATCAGGGTAGATATGTACAGCATAGCTGCACGTTGACGATTAATAGAGTGTATATATCACCACAGCACCCACCTAATTACAGATAAATACATTTAAGCGTTTTAGGTGGAGATTATGATGGCAATAGAGGACGAATTTGGCTTCGAAATTCCTCTTGAAGACTCAGACGCAAAGCACGCGTTCTTCGTGACGTATTACAAAGTACTTTTGTGAACGCGGAGATGTGTGTGATTAGTTTTGGAAATGTTTTCTGTGTTGACCTGGAGGGTTGTCAATTTGAGTTTGTTTAGGCATGTCTTTTCAATATCGATAGTTAACAGAACATTATCTATAGCAAAAAAGCATGAACAAAGGCTTTCTTCGTCACGAATGGTCATTTGGAAATCAGATGTCCGTAAGTAAAAAAACAAAGATTTTTCAAGGTGTAGAGTCCTTTTTTATAAAACATGGTTTCATGCTTGACAGTGCGTAAATGCATATTTAGGTACCACATTGATGGACTATACCCTTATACCCAATTTCAGTCGGAGGTACCATCATTGGCTTCTTATCCTTGATTTCGGACCACCCATCGATGCATGTTTTCTGTTCTCATGCACGTGCACAATTTGAGTACACAGAAGGCGCTGTGGTGCATAGGGCAGAAATTGACTTTATCGCGTTTCGCAGCGCGAAACATTGCTCGTTGCGGGACTCACGGGTCCACTGATGATTCGCTGCGGGAATCTTGGGTGCAAACCCCGCGAGAAAAAAATTTGCTCAAGTGAAAGACGTTGCTCTCATTATTTATTTTGCGACCACAAAACTTTTCAAATGTGCCTAAGGCAAGTGTTCATAACAGACGGTTTTTCGTATGTCTGTTACGTCGATTTCGCAGTAACGTATTGTAGTGCAAAATGTAAAACATGTTGCCTCTTTCACGCAACTATATATGTATGTAGTTATATGTAATGTACGTTACTGCATGTCTTTGTCACATCGATTGTTCAGACATTAGCCTTGGCTGTAGTCTGGCAGTGGCTCTGCTCACCGAGATCTTGGTACGAAAGTCCAAGTTGGATTGGGTCTTGCCAAAGCTAATCAAGCGTTTCACCCTGTTGGGATCAGTTATTCGGTATCAGACCCGTGTCGTTGCATGAAAAGACGCGAGCAGACCCCCCCCCCCAACGCGCGCCATGTCAGGCCGATGTCAGACTTTGCGAATCGCGCGATTCGCTAGCGTCCGCGGTCGCGTTGCGGTACCAGCCAATTGAGTGATTCACTGGCCGCGACGCGACCGCAGACGCTAGCGAATCGCGCGATTCGCAAAGTCTGACATCGGCCTCAAAGTAGAACTCGCGATGAGCTGTTTTCATAGAAATACAAAAGCAGAACTGCCATATGATGCGTCGGTAAAAAAGAAAAAATCCGAGAATCTGCCGAAAACTGGAAAGCGGAACTCTTATTCTGTCGATACATTCGGATAGTGGACGAGTTTACTGGTCACATGTAGGTTGTTGGGATGAGGCCAGATACTGGCACCGTGCCAATGCTGATTGGTAAAGAGTTGCTGCTTTGATGGCCCGTATAACTGCTCGTAGAAAGAACGAAGAATTACAGTAACCTTATCGTTTCATAGGAATCTAACATCAGCACTTAACCGACGTGCTACCGAAACCCTGGCGCCGTCAAATAACATGCGAGCCCATTCGCACTGATTTCGGTGTCTGGATTGAATTTCTTTATTTCCTAGTGGTAACTTCATATGGCTGCAACCCATTTTTCTTCTCTATTCTATTGCATATTTTACATCCCCGCCTATCGAGCAGAGTAAAAGGTCCTTTCGTTTCGCTGTCATCCTTTTTGGAGCTCATGTCGTTGGGAGGTGGGGGGGGGGACATTCAAGTGAGTGATCAACTTACTGCATTTGGCACTAAGCCTTCGGGAGGGGAAGCGATTCTAGGGAACTTAGCAACTTGCCTTTTCCCTGAGGCTTCTTCCCTCTCCTGGGCTTGGTCCTAGTGTCACCTAGCATCGGCTGTGTTTCCAATGTCGACTACGAGTACGTACATTTTATCTTTTTTTTAACCATCTGCATTCAGAGACGATGTGTATTTCCCGGGTGATATATTAAGCAACAGTCCAGGCAGGGTTCCGAGCATTAGTCGCTAATGGGGTGGGGAGAAGCACTGGTCCTAGTTAAACATATCTGAAAGGGAACTGAACATGAACTCACCTTTGGAAGCCTGTAGGAAGGGCGACGAACTACAGCAGATGGGCGGAGGCGGGACTGGGATGGGCGGGAGCGGGCATGGCCGCTGTCTCCCAGCCGTGATGATGGCTTGGCCAGGTGCGAAGACGTTGCGGGACCAGTTTTGATCAAGCTTGAATAGTTTTGGTTTCATTCTGCATTCTTCACAGCCAAGATGTATCGATACTATCACCAGAACGGCGACCGCCTGCAGACTCGCTCACAGTTCTTTGCGTCGTACCTTTCTTCAAAAACGATTAGGAAATGCAACTGCGGGCAGGTTCGGACAACTCGTCCATCACACGTCTCCCCCCATCGCTTAAACGGCAGAGGGGAGTCCCTGTCTAAGCCCCTGCCCGACGTTTTTTTCTACTTTTTCTTTCTCCATTGACCAACTTCTCACCTGCAACGTCATTATAGGTGGTCCTTACCCGCGAATTCGTTCCTGGATTGTTGCTTTAATACGTTCGTTTCAGGAACTTTTTTGACAGGTCACAAGCCACGTAAAAAGCAAAATATGAAAGAGGCAGGGTACAATCAGAGAAGGTTTCAGACCGGTCCGGCCATTCGCAATGAGGTGCACATCATTGCATTCGTCTTGAGACCATGATCTCTAAACTGTTTTCCATATCTGCCCACCCATGCTCAGAAAGGAGTTACGAGCAGTGGTTACTTCTCCCACTGCGACACCATCCCATCCCAGGAATGTATCTGATATATGTACGATCGAGCAAGTATCGGCTGCAGATGGGTGGTGGTCTAGTGGACAAATGTCTAGCTTCATAGGCGAGAGGTAGCGGTTTCGACGCCTTGATGCTCGTAACACATCGCTTTTCTTCTCATCATTTGGGCTCACATAGTAGAGGGGAAGCTGAATTCTAAGGCGGGAATTGCAACTTGCTTTTCCCTGAGGGCTTCTTCCTCTCCTTAGGCTTGCCGTCTAGCTGTGTACCTAGCATCGGCGGGGTGTTTTCCAATGTCGACTCACGAGTTACGTACATTTTATCTCTTTTTTAACCATCTGCATTCAGAGACGATGTGTATTTCCCGGATCGATTATATTAAAGCAACAGTCCAGGCAGGGTTCCGAGCATTAGTCGCTAATGGGGTGGGGAGAAGCACTGGTCCTAGTTAAACATATCTGAAAGGGAACTGAACATGAACTCACCTTTGGAAGCCTGTAGGAAGGGCGACGAACTACAGCAGATGGGCGGAGGCGGGACTGGGATGGGCGGGAGCGGGCATGGCCGCTGTCTCCCAGCCGTGATGATGGCTTGGCCAGGTGCGAAGACGTTGCGTTACCAGTTTTGAGCAATCAAGCCTTCATTCTGCATTCTTCACAGCCAAGATGTATCGATACTATCACCAGAACGGCGACCGCCTGCAGACTCGCTCACAGTTCTTTGCGTCGTACCTTTCTTCAAAAACGATTAGTAAATGCAACTGCGGGCACGTTCGGACAACTCGTCCAACACGCGTCTCTCTAAA